GTGTGTGTGTGCATGCACACACATTTGTATATGCAGGGTAAGTATCCCTTACCCAAAAGGCTTGGGACTGGAAATGTTTCAGACTTCAGAGTTTTTCAGATTTGGGAATATTTGCATTATAATTCGTGGTTTAGCATCCCTAATTAGAAAATCCAAAGTCTGAAATTCTCTAATGAGCATTTCCTTTGAGCATCATTCAGTGATCAATAAATTTCAGGTTTCAGAATATTTTTCATTTTGGATTTTGGATTTTTAGTTTAAGGATACTCAACCTGTATATATAAAATCTTTTGTTTTCTCTCCTCCCTTATTCTCTTGACATGTAACATAAGATATACTGACTTTATATTACCATATTTAGGTATTGGTAATTTTACATAGTAACATTTAAGTAACAGGTTGTCAGGAAGAAGGGTAAACATCACTCAGGGACTTTATCTTCTCTTCTGGGAAAAGATTAATGTATTTTTGGTTGTACACAGGATAGCTGTACCATGTTAGGCAGAAGTATGACCTTGTTATTATCTTTATTTGGAGATTAAGTATGGTTTAAGTAGATTCATATGAGTGCCAAGTTGACAAGACGTAGACTTGTGATAGCTAATTTCACATGTCAACTTGACTAGATCACAGAATTCCCAAATACCTGTTTAAAGATCATTTCTGGATATGTCTGTGAGTGTGTTTCTGAAGATATTAATATTTAAATTGGCAGACTTAGTAGAGCAGACTGCTCTCTTCAACATGGATGGGCATCACCCTTTCAGAGCCTAAACAGAACAAAAAAGTGGAGAAAGGAGGAATTCTTCTTTCTTTCTTTTCTTTCTTTTTCCTTTCTTTCTTTTTCTTTCTTTCTCTTCTCTCTCTCTCCCTCCCTCTCCCTATTCCTATCTTCCTTCCTTCCTTTCTTTCCTTCTTTCATTCTTTTTCTTTTCTATCATATATATACACACACATAAATATAAATATACATTTATATACACAAATATATGTGTGTGTGTGTGTAGAAAAATATATACATAAATAAGTCCTATTGGTTCTATTTTTCTGGAGAATTCTAACAAATACAGGGTGTACTTAACAAAGAACAGAAGTTAAAAGAACAGGCCCACATGCAAAACTGCCTATATTTGAATCCCAGCTACATTCCATCTTGGAAATATGTGACTTTAGCAAGTTATGTGACTTCTCTATGATTCAGTTATCTTTTCTGTAAAACATGGTAATTATACAGTTGTTATGAATACTAAATTATTGTATATATATATATATATATATGAAATATATACATATATATATAAAATATATACATATAATAAATATAAATTTAAAGTTCCTGCTGGCACTATTAAGTATCAGATAAATTACTGTTTTTATGAATAATGGTTGTTATTCAAAATCTATTACTATAAACTACATTAGTAATAAAAATGGCATTGGAATTATGTCATATAGGTCAAGATAAAATTGTAAGAATTAGCAAAAACATTTCTTAACTTTAGAATGCTTGCTTAGACATGGTGTCTTTTCCCCTTGAATTGTTCTCTATAAATCCAAATTTCCCTTATAAATAGAACAACTTATTTCATTATAGTCTATCATAATTTATAGTGTTACATTTTATACTGGCTGCTTCCCCATTATCTAGACAATTAATTAGAATTTAGACATGGTGAAATGGCTTAAGTTTCTGAAGTTCAGCTTCCTACTCTCTGCAGAAAATCTATCCCAGAGCATTCCTGAAAATTAAATTATATAGCTTATGCTTGGATTATTTTAGTGATAAGAAGCCTCCTAACTCTAGAGGCAACTCTGACATCAAAAGGCAAATTTTAAACTTTAAATTTTCTATACTTTCTTAGGATTTTCTTTTCCTAATTTTCACACGTTTGTTAGGACTTGACTAACTTCATTCAGATTTGAAGATCAGTACAAAAGCTCCTTTTGATTGCATTAGATCTACTCAGAATTATATATATATATATATATATAATATATTTATATATATATATATGTATATATATACACACACATAAAAATAATTATATATCTACTTAGAAATATATATACACATATGTATAATTTTAGATCTATATATACACAGATATATAATACCACTCAGTCATTCCATATTTTTACTTTGAACAAACTTCACATATATACACATACATGTAATTATATATACATATATAATGTTGATATATATAATATATATGTAAAACAGTTATTTTGTCTTGGAAGTTACCATAAATAACACTATGCTACCATAATAGGCAAAATATAGTTTTAAAAACATATAGTTATTATTTTTAATGGTACCTATGAAATCTCAAAATTTTATATTACACAGAAATAAAATTTGTTATAATTCTATTTGAATTTCATAAAGAGTGCCATTATGTACCTTCCTGCCTTGCCAATATACTATAAACTATACATGTTGAATGCTTTGTAAACTTTTCTCTATATTGAAGAAGTTTATATTAACATCTGCACCTCCATTTGCAATTAAATTTATGTAGAATTTTTAAAGCAATTGTGATATAGGGGAAACTACTAGTTAAATTTCATTACAATTATCTATGATTATTTTTCTCCCTTGCTAGATAGAAGATATTTGAGGAGAAGGATTGAGTCTTACTCATTTATTCACATATTCAAAGCACACTGTCTGCCACACAATATGTGCTCAAAAAGCAAAACAATGAATAAATGAGCAAACAAATGAACCATCTGAGTTTTATTCCTGTTTACGCTATTTTCTATCTGTGTTTTTCTTTTTTTAATTGCCTTAGCTTCAGTTTTCTCCCTTATCAATAAGGATATTAACAGTTAACTGAAAAGCTAGTTTTAAGAATCTAGAACTGTATGTGAAATGTTTTGAAAACTTAAAATTTATATTCCAATGTAAAATATTTAATCAGTAATTTATTTAAATTAAGCTCTTTTTCTCTTTATGGCTGTTATCTATCCAACTCTAATCTACTGTCCCATTTTCTTGGATAATTTTAGTACATGAATCATTTTATTATACTACATATATCATTATATGTTTGATTTTATATATCAAACATCATTCTTGGATAGTTCAGGATTACTGCTAATGGCCTTCTAAACCTAGGCTTGACTTTAACCTCTCTATTACAACTGTAGGCATGACTATATATTTCAGCCTTGTTTTGCCCACCAATCATTCCGTATTTTTACTTTGAACAAATTTCACCTGCCTTCACTTCTTTCTCTTTCGAGAACTGGTTCTGATTATCTACTGCTGCACAAACAACCACCTTAAGACAACTAATGTCTTGAAACAACTATAATAATTTACTTTGTTCAAAAATTTGCACTTGAGCATTACTAAGTGGGAAAGGCTCATTTCAGCTCTATATGGCATCAGTTGGGGCACCTTAACTGGAAGGTGGAGGGTCCACTTCAAAATACTCAACATGGCTGGCAAGCCCACACTGGCTGTTGTCTGGGAGCTCAGCTAGTGGGGCCTCAGTTCATCTCTGCATGGGCCTCTCCATGGATGCTGGGCTTCTGTACAGCATGTTGGGTAGGTTCAAGAGTAGACATTCTGAGAGAATTATTCATAAGTACATAAGAAGTCACATAGCAACTCTTTTTCCATACACTATTAGTCGGAGTAGTACTACAGGTCCACCCACGGGACTGGAAACAGACACCGCTACTTGATGAAAGCAGTGTCAACACTGCATTGTGTGAAGAACACACAGAATCTTTAGAAAACACAATATGCCACCACTCTCTGGCAATATTTCATATTTCTCCCACATACAAAATACAAGCAACCCCATGAAGACTCCCGACTTCAATTCATTAAAGTGTTAATTGAAAGTCTAGGACTCTGATATCTAATTCTGATTCAGATGAGGATGAGACTGCCTTTTGGTGATTCTTCTATTATAGCTCTTTGCATGATTATCTCCATCGAAAGACCTTGAACTAAAGAGGCGAATTATCTGCCCACATATATGCAAGAAACTAATGGTAGACAGGAATAGTATAAATGCTTTAAACACTATTGTTCAAAAAAAGAAAAACAGGAGAGACAGCATTCAAAGGTTTGTAGCAATTCAAATTTAGATGGGCAAATGTTGCAAGTTCATAGATAAGGGTTCAGTCCCGCTTTCTTGGAGTTGTTCAGTAGGTTTCATGACTTTACCCTGTGGGCTCTTGGTTCTGTCCTCGGAGTCATCCTTCCTTTTCCATAAAAAGTAGCTCATGCTTGCAGCTAAAGAGTTTTATTGGTCATTTCCCTCCTATAGAAATCTGAGAGTCCAAAGGCCTCTTTTCATTTTAAATACTGTTTGTGCTTTTTAGGACAAGCTGATACAATTATTTTTTAAGTTATGTGAGCTTTCATCGATTTATAAATCACTCCATTATGCAAAGCCACGCCATGGGATGTTTGGGATAAGCTCTCTTACATATATTATCTATATAGAGAGATATGAAATCTATTTATAGTAGTCTCCTCTTATCCACAGGGATACATTCCAAGAACTCCAGTGTATGCCTGAAATCAAGGATAGTATCAAACCCTACATAGACTATGTTTTTTCTTATATATACATATCCATAATAAAGTTTAGTTTCTAAATTAGGCATAGTAACATTGACAATAGTATCTAATCATAAAATAGAACAATTGCAACAATATATTGTTATAAAAAGTTGTGTGAATATGGTCTCTCTCTCTCTCAAAATATTTTACTATACTTGCCTATATCCAGGCTGCACTTTATGCTGGTAACCAAGGCCATGAAAAGTGGAACCACACAAAGAAAGGAGACTACTATATTTTCAATTATTCTTGGCACTTAACTTCTCACCTCAATAAATAAACAAAGTCCACTTTCTGCTTTGAGGCTTACCACTCTATTTTAGACTTTAATTCTATTACCCTAATTTATGTTCTAAAATACCACTTCATCAGATTTCTCCTTCCCACTCCACCTTGCGTATTCATTCTCTCCTTTTTTTTTTTTTTTTCGTCTTTTTTTTTTTGTTTTTTTTTTTGACACAGTTGCATTTTACTACCTCCACATTTTGAAGCAGTTCATTACCAGCATAGTGCTTTGGAGGCATTTATTTTTTTCAGTAAATGAAAGCATTTCTTTAAGAAAAAGGCATATATTCCTTGAATAGGTAAGAAAAGCTCCCCATCTGTCCCCTCCCTTTTTGAGGGAGCAGCCCCTGTGGGAACTCATACCAGCAAAGCAACCATTAGCCTCCCTGACCCCTCGCCCCACTTCCCCAGCAGCTGGGATGAAGACATTCCGCATACGTCATTTGATCTTGAGGTCCTTTAAGGCTGACTCCAAGCTCTTCACATCCCAGATACTCATGCCACCGTCCATGACAGTGGTGCAGAACTGTGAGCACTTGGCCTTGCCCCCGCTGATCACTGAGATCTGGCTGACGCTATTCTTGTGCAGCGAGTCCAGGCCCGAACCCGCGGCCATGCCGCCCTCGGAGCTCGCCTTCTTGTCAAGGTTCTGGAAGTGCTCACGGGCAGTCAAGCCGCGCTGCAAGCTCTGCTTGGGCACATCCAGTGGCCCGCAGAAGCTCAGCGTCCCTGCAGCGGCGTCGTAGGTGAACAGCACTGGGAAGCAGTCATGGCCCGCTGCCACCAGGCTGTTTTCTGTGACGAAGGTCAGCGCCAGCAGAGGCAGTGTTTCAGAGGCCAGGGTCGCGATGGCCATCTTTTTCTCGGCATCAGCCAGGCACACGGTGCTGTCCTGGCTCACCCAGGCCATGCGGCTCCCGCTCCTGAGAAGCAGACGCCATGTCCCCAGCGGCAGCTACTGCTGGACTCAAACATCAACACCCCCAAAGGGCATCTTGGAGCCCCATGAGGTGGGTGCCGGCCGCTCCTCCACCTCCTTGATGTAGGCTGAAAAGATCTGGCACTTGAAGTCGCAGAAGCCGGCAGCCAGCAGCATATTGTTGGGGTGCCACTCCAGGCTGAGGACGGTGGAGGGGATAGGCTTCTTGATGTGCTTGCAAACCCATCAGTCATTCTCCTGGGCCCGCAACGAGAACAAGTTTGCTGTGGGCAGCGGCTCCCGTATCATCTCCATTCTCTCCTTTTCTAATGAAGCTTTTCCTAGTCTTCAATTCTTTAGTACCCAAAAAGTGAATTATTTTATTCTAACTCAGAAAATTAATAATCTGTACATCTATACATGGAATTATTTTATCTATAATATATCCTTCTTACCAAATATTATCCTCAAATTATGTATAATTTACCCTATACATATATTTATATATCACTTATATATTTATATGTAATATACATAAATATATATTATATATAAAGTGTCCAAAGAAACAAAATAATTTGAGATTGAAAACTAATAAAGTTAGTTCATTTTTAACAATAAAATTTCTATCATTTTGATGAAAGATATAGAATCAACAAATCCCCAAAACTGATCTGACCAGCTTTTGCGCACACTCAAGAGTTATCCTGCATTTTATCACCTCAGAAGCATTTCTGGCAGCTATAGAAAAATGATCAAAAATGTTACACAATTATTGCAGAGGGTTAACAGCACTCAGCAAGAGTGAACTGCATTTTGAAAAACTTTCCAGTACTTCTGAAGCTAGAATAAGTCACTGAGAAAGCAGAATAAACAATTAATTTTTACACAACAGTGATTTTTACAACAAAAGTATTATTTATGTTTATTGAAAAAATGAACAAAACTACCTTCATAGATACATTCAATTAACTTCTAAGATAAATTATACTTGTTTCCTAAAATAATTTCCTGTGAGAATGTGATACAGAAATCACAGTGTTATTTTCATGACTAATAATCTATGCTTTCTGAGTAAAGTAAGTCTCAGTACCTGATAGGTTAAGCCACAAATGTTGTCTTATATGCTATGCATTGCTGAGTGTATCATTCATTTAAATATTTGGTTTCTAATGAAAATTGTGCTGCACACATCAACTGATTTTCCCCATTTATTTAAAATCTGAAAATATTTTAGCACTTAAATATTTTGCCATTTAAACTATTTAAACCATTTAAACTATTTAAACCATTTAAACTATTTAAATTATTTAATTTTAACATTTAAACCTTTTAAACTATCTAAATTAAATTACTTAATTTTATAGTTTAAATTTTAAAATTTTTAAATATATTTTTGAATTACTATGAAGCAGTATATGTTCATACAGAAAGCATAATTTTAAAAAATTTGAAACCAAAACATAAATAAAATCTTTAATAAGCCTAAGGCCATTACTCAAATACAGGCTTACCTCATTTTATTATGCTTTACAGATTTGTTTGTTTTTTACCAATTGAAGATTTGTGGCAACCTTGCATCAGCAAGTCTATCAGCTATTTGTGCCATTTTTCTAATAGCATGTGCTCCCTTCATGTCTCAGTGTCACATTTTGGTAATTCTCTCAATAGTTCAAACTTTTCCATTATTACTATATCTGTTATGATGAACTGTGATTAGCAGCCTTTGACGTTACTATTGTAATTCTTTGAGGGCAACACAAACCATGTACATATAAAATGGCAAACTTAATCTATAAATATGTGTGTTCCTGTGGCTCCACTGACCAGACATCCTCCCATCTCTCTCCCTCTCCTCAGACATCTCTATTCCATAAAACATAACAGTGCTGAAATTAGTCTAATTAATGACCCAACAATGACCTTTAAGTGTTCAAGTGAAAGGAAGAGTCCTGGGTCTCTCACTTTAAATCAAAAGCTATAAATAATTAAGCTTAGTGAGGAAAGTACATTGAAAGCAAAAACAAGCCATTAGCTAGACCTCTTGCACCAAACATTACCCAAGTGTAAATGCAAAAGAAAAGAAAGTTCTTGAAGAAAATTAAAAGTGCAACTGCAGTAAATGCACAAATCAAAAGAAAGTTGTTAGGCCATTCTCGCATTGCTATAAAAATATACCTGTGACTGGGTAATTTATAAAGAAAAGAAGTTTAATTGGGTCACAGTTCTGCAAGCTGTACAGCATGGCACTGGCATCTGCTTCACTTTGGGGAGGTCCCAGGGATTTTTACTCATGGCAAAAGGTAAGGCAGGAGCAGGCATGTCACATAGTGGGGGCAGCACAAGGTAGCACAGGGACATTGCCACACACTTTTAAACAACGAGATCTCATGAGAATCAATTCTCTATTGTGAGGACGGCACCAAGCCAGAATGGATCCTTCTTCATGACCCAAACACTTCCCACCAGGCCCCACCTCCAAAATGAGATTTAGAGAGTACCTCTAAACGATATCATTCCACACTCTACTCCCCAAATCTCTGTCCTTCTCCCATTGCAAAATACAATCATGCCTTCCAATAGGTTCCCAAATTCATAACTCATTTTGGCATCACTCAAAAGTCCGAAGCCCCAAGTCCAAAGTCTCATCTGGACAAGCATTCCTTCCACCTATGAGCCTGTAAAATCATAAACAGGTAGTTACTTCTAAGATATAATGTAAATTCAGGAATTGAGAAAACATTCCTGTTCCAAAAGGAAAAAACTGGCCAGAAAAAAGGGCTCCAGGCCCCACACAAATCTGACACCCAGCAAGACAGTCATTAAATCTTAAAGCTCCAAAATAATCCCTTATTACCCCATGTCATAAATCCAGGGCCAACTGCAGTAAAAAGTGGGCTCTCTAGACCTTAGGCAACTCAGCCCTGTATCTCTGCAGGATACAGCCCCTACTGCTACTCTCACATGTTGGAGTTTGGTGCCTCTAGCTTTTCCAGGTACAGGGTATAAGCTGCCAGTGGATCTATCATTCCAGTCTGGAGGACAGCAGCACCCTTCCCATATTTCCAGTAAGCAGTGCCCCAGTGAGGAGTCAGTGTGGGGCCTCCAACCCCACAATTCCCCTTCACATTGCCCTAGCAGAGTTTCTCTGTGAGGGCTCCACCCTTGTACCAGGGTTCTGCCTGGCCACCCTGCCATATAGATTTCAAAAGATATATAGCAGGCTTTTTCATATATCCCTTAAAATCTAGGCATAGGTTGCCAAGCCTCCCTCACTCTTGCACTCTGTGTGCCTACAGACTTAACACAATGTGGAAGCTTCCAGAGTTATAGCTTGCACCCTCTGGAATTGCAGCCTGAGCTATACCTACGGCCCTATGAGCTGAGGCTGGGCCTGAGTGGCCTGAATGCCAGAAGTAGTATCCCAAGGCCGCACAAGGCCGCCAAGTCCCAGGCCTCGTCCCCCAAGTCATTCTGTTCTCCCAGGCCTCTAGGCCTGTGATGAGAGAAGCTGCCATAAAGATCTCTGAAATGCCTTGGAGGCCTTTTTCCCATTGTCTTGGCTATTAGCACTTGATGACTCTTTTTCATCATGCTAATATCTCTAGCAAGTGATTTCTCCATAGCCCCTCTGACTTCATCTCCTAATAATGGTTTTTCTTTCTCTGCTATATGGCCAGGTTGCAAATTTTCCAAACTTTTATGCTTGCTTCCCCTTTAAATTCGAATTTTTATGTCATTTCTTTTTTTCTGCATCTAAGCATAGGCTGTTAGAAGCAGCCAGGCTACTTCTTAAATGCTTTGATGCTTAGAAATTTTTTTCTGCTAGACACCCTAAAGTCATCACTCTTGAGTTAAAACCTCCACAGATCCCTAGGGCATGTAAACAATACAGACAAGTTTTTTGCTAAGGCAAAACAAGTGTTACATTTGCTCCAGTTCCCACTAAGTTTCTCAATTTCATCTGAGATCTTATCAGCCCAGAATTCACTATTCATATCACTATCAGCATTTGGTTACATCCATTTAAGTAGTCTCTAAGAAGTTCCAAACGTTTCCTCATCTTCCTGTCTTCTTCTGAGCTCTCAAAACTCTTGCAACCTCTGTCACTCAGTTCCAAAGTTTTCCCTCATTTTCAGGTATCTTTATAGCAATGCCCAACTTCTCAGTACCAATTTTCTGTGTTAGGCTATTCTTGCTATAAAGAAATACTTGAGACTGGGTAATAAATTAAAAAGACTTAATTGGCTCATTGATCTGAAGGCTCTAAAGCATAGGGCTGATATCTGCTTGGCTTCTGAGGAGTTCTCAAGGAGTTTTTACTTATGAGAGAAGGCAAAGCACGAGCAAGCACATTATGTGGTGAGCACAGGAGCAAGTAGGGGGTAAGGCTGCCACACACTTTTAAATGACCAGAATTCATAATTCACTATCACAAAGATGGTGCCAAGCCAAGAGGGGTCTATCCCAATGACCCAAACTCCTCCCACAAGGCACCACCTCCAAAACTGGGTATTACATCTCTGGAGAAAATCTGAGTGGTCTAAATAAAACAACAAACCAACCACAACATTTCCTTAAACCAAAGCATAACCCAGAGAAAGACCCTAATTCTTTTTAATTCTTTGAAGGCTAAGAGAGGTGGAGAAGCTGCAGAAGAAAAGTTGAATACTAGTAGAAGTTAGTACACAAAGATTAAGGAAAGAAGCTGTATTCATAACATAAAAATACAAGGTGAAACAAGTGCTGATGCAGAAACGGCAACAAGTTATTCAGAAGATCTAGCTAACATCATTTATGAAAGTGATTACACTAAACAACAGATTTTTAATGTAGACAAACAGTCTTATATTAGAAAACCATGCTATCTAGGACTTTCAGAGCTAGAAAGAAGTCAATGCCTGCCTTCAAAGCATCAAAGGATAGGCTGACTCTGGAGCTCATGCAGCTGGTGACTTTAGGTTGAACCAATGCTCATTTACCATTCTGAAATGTTATGACCCATAAAAATTATTTCAAATCTATTGTGCTTATGCTGTAGAAATGGAAAAACAAAGCCTGGGTGATACCACATCTGATTACAGCATGGTTTACTAAATATTTTAAGCCCACTGTTGATACCTAGTACTTAGAAAAAGATTCCTTTTCAAAGTATTACTACTCATTGACAGCTGTTCTGCCTATGGAGTAGCCATTCTTTATTCCTTTAGTTTCTTAATAAACTTACTTTCACATTACTCTGTGGATTGTCTTGAATTCTTTCTTGTGTGAGATCTAAGAACCCTCTTCTGGGGTCTGGATTTGGACTCCTTTCT